CCTCGTCAGCGATGTCAAGTCAAGAAGAAGAGTCGATAGAAGATATCAAAGATCAAAGATCTTCCAAATTAATAGACAACATCGTAGATTCTGACAACGTTTCCGTGGATTCTTCTTCGAGTTTGGATACGGTCCGAGAATTTCCTACGGCCAACGTTAGTTCTATGGCATCTACATCAGTATCTAAAGACGAGCTGCAGGAAAACAGGGTAAGCGTGCAAAAAGAAACAACTACAATTAAATCTCGAACTCCAGAAGAAGTTTTGGCGACACGAGCCGATCGATTAAAACGTTTGGAGGAACAGGCTGATTGGCTTATGAAAAAAATGAACGCTACAAGTAAACGTGGTACTGCTCTCTGCACAAGATTGGAAGAGCTTCATAATACTTATGGTGAAGCACCGGTTCCTCCACCCATGCCAGATGTTTTACCTAGTTGTAGATTACCATGCACCTTACCCAATCTACCTCATCAGGTAAAAGTATGTGTAGATAAATTATCCTCGATTCCATTTTCTAATATTTTAATTTTTTTCGTAGGTACCTGAATCGTTATCCAATGCTAACAATATCAAAAATACTGAAAGTGAAAGTTCAAATATGGTCAAAAATGATGCGTCAGCCACAAATGAAAATGTTTCGTAAAACATCTATAATTTTTTACTTACAGAAAAAAATTAATTATTATAATATTTATTTTCAAGCAAACAAAGCTGCAATCCCCTCTCAGTATATAAAAATGCATCGAAAACAATGTATTTTATATCGTGACCATGATGTCCCGAATGTAATTAAGATACATGTATCGTACTAATATTAATCCAGCAAATGATAAAATAAGCTGTATTAAATCGTGACCCCATATTGATCTTTATTCTCAATATATCTTCAATTTTAATGTAAAGAAAATAAAAAGATTTTTCTTTTATTTATTTATACCTTAATTTTATATCATATACAAATACCATATATCAGATTTTTTTCTTGTTGAATTGATGTGATTTTTCTGTTAAATCCTGTATTTTGTATCTCGGATATATAATTAATAAAGAAAACTTCAAAAATTTTCGCATATATCATAAACAATAACTTATAACAAGGTGATTTATTTTAATTGATCTTTCAAAATAAAAGGAAATTGAATTTTAAAAAATACTAATAAAATAAAGTCAAAAGAAACGCATGCTTATAATAGCAAATACAATGTGTCCATTTTGGAAAGACTCTCCATCCGTTATTTACAATTAGATATAACCTCATATTTGAAGATATCTCCTTTTTCATAGAGAATGAAGTAAATACTAAAAAAGAACAAAAGAATATAAATTACGTTCATAAAATAGTCGGTATACACATCTCGTACTTATTGATAATTACGCGAATTTATTTATTCTACACTATATACGTATAACGTAAATAATATGTTAAAAATATATAACGTAAATATATTAGGTGTTGGAATTAATTCGTAGCGTTTTACAAGTGATGGGAAGTACTTTCATTAATGTATTTTTTAATGCTCATGTGAAATAAATAACATTCTTTCATTAAAAAACGCTACGAATTAATTCCAACACCTAATATATACGCGCTTTTATTGTTAAAAGTGAAGTATAAAAATACGGACCAATAATTTTATAATTAATTTACTGTATTTTAAAGTTGATTATAGTGAATCTGAAAATCAAGTATAACTTACAAAGGCGTATTTTAGAATGAAACGAGAATACGCGTCGTTGAAAAAGTAACTACAGCGCTTGCGCTAGTTTTACAGCAATAGTTTTTCTTATGGATGTTATTCTACGACTAAAATTTATGTAAATTTCAACAATTTAGCGAAATTGGTTGAAATACTGAAATTGTCTTAAATTGTGAAACATTTCATACATTAGAAGAAAAAAATATTAAAAACATTTATCATCAATCAACTAAATGGTGGGGATAAGCGCAACTTAGTTCACTTCAATTCCGTTAAAAGCATTTCAGAGTTAGTTGAGACATGATCAGTATTGTGGACAGATATTTCAGTCTTAATCGAACTCTTTTGTTGATAATTGGTTTGTGGCCTTATAAAAAATCAAAATTTGTTGGATTGCAAATAATATGTATATTTAGCATCCTTATAACTTGCATTATATTTCAGGTATGAAGATTTTCATTCTAATATTATATTAGATCTAGAATTTATTTACTATAGCAAATATGTTGAATTTAAGAATTGATATTTGATAATTGATTTTTTTCTGGAAATATGAATTGTCTTGACATATACCAAATAAGCAATTAAATATAAAAAATTAGCGCAAATATTAGTAAGATCTTATCCTTTATACGTATAAAAAAAGTCTGAGCAAGTACATATACGCATATACACGGAAAAAAAATTAATTGGATGGTACAGCAAACCTATAATTTGCTACGAGAATTCAACATCGATAATTAAGAAAATTTGATGGTTTAATAAATCTCTAATGTTATTCAGCTGTCAACATTGCTATTTTAACATAGAAAATTGACTGTATATTACGTCTGTATAATACGACTGTAGATTTACTGAATCAGTGAAGTTTTCAGCAATGTTTTTTTCCGTGTAAATATAGTTGTGCCAATAATAAAATGTTATTATATGTCGATTTCTATTGCAAATAGTTACATAATTAGATTAGTACGAAATTTTGAAAATTATAATTATACAATTTAATATTTTTGAAGATTTCACTATTTACGAATTTTCCATACAGAAGTCATGTTTCGCGGGTTACCTTCTGGTCCAAATCCATTATTAAAATCCTA